GAAAAAGTAGATACTTGAGCTGAAAAGTATTAGATTTGGCCAGGCACAGTGACTCACACCTATCATCCCAACACTTTGGCTCACTTGAGGTCAGGAGTTTGAGACCAGCCTGGACAACATGGTGAAACCCCGTCTCTACTAAAAATACAAAAATTAGCCCAGCGTGATGGTGTGCACCTATAATCCCAGCTACTTGGGAGGCTAAGGCAGGAGAATCAATTAAACCTGGGAGATGGGGGTTGCAGTGAGCCGAGATTGTGCCACTGCACTGTAGCCTGGGTGACAGCGAGACTCCATCCCAGAAGAGTAGAGAGGAGAGAGGAGAGAGGAGAGGGGAGGGGTGGTGGAGAGAGGAGGAGGGGGGAGGGGAGAGGGGAAAGAGGAGAAGGGAGAGGAGAAGGGAGAGGAGGGGAAGAGAGGGGAAGAGTGGGGACCAGAGGGAAAGAGGGGGAGAATAGAGGAGAGAAGAGGTGAGAGGAGGGGGAGGGGGAAGAGGGAAAGAAGGGGAGAGATCAGGGGAGAAGAGTGTAAAGGGGAGGGGAGGGGAGGGAAAAGAGGAAAGGAGGAGACTAGATTTGATGAGCGGGCCATCTTGAGCAACTTACAAAGAAAAGGCAGTAAACTCTACAGAAGAGATCTCAACACTAAGCAAGAAAAGAAGTACAAACCTCTTTCCAACATTTGATAGTTTCAGATTTGATGCTTTAAAGAAAACCCTTAAGGACAGATCTTGTAAGATATAACTAATGATAAGGGACTGAAAAAGAATTTATCCACCAACCCCCCTCTATAAAAACTTAAGTAGGGGGCCGGGCGCGGTGGCTCAAGCCTGTAATCCCAGCACTTTGGGAGGCCGAGGCGGGTGGATCACGAGGTCGAGAGATCGAGACCATCCTGGTCAACATGGTGAAACCCCGTCTCTACTAAAAATACAAAAAATTAGCTGGGCATGGTGGTGCGTGCCTGTAATCCCAGCTACTTAGGAGGTTGAGGCAGGAGAATTGCCTGAACCCAGGAGGCGGAGGTTGCGGTGAGCCGAGATCGTGCCATTGCACTCCAGCCTGGGTAACAAGAGTGAAACTCCGTCTCAAAAAAAAAAAAAAAAAAAAAAAAAAAAAAAACTTAAGTAGGGTCACTAAAACCATTGCTTCATTTAAACCTGTTAACTATGTACTTGGCTTACTATTAATTTTATATTTCAGAAAAGAAGTAACCCTTTAAATGAATGCTGGAAAGAAGTGTTTACCATGTGGCAATTTCTCGATTGTCATCCTCTGGTGGTGCTTTCAGAATATCAGTGGCAACAGTATGACAGGGATAGTCAGCAAAACAGAAGATCTCTGGATTTATAAGGGAATGTTGAATGAAGGAGAGCTGCAATGACAAGAAAACGCTTACCACATTAATAATTGTGAATGCTATAAAAATCTGAAATGTTTTCATTAGTCTACTGTCAATCTTATCAGGTGTGGCAATTTCCCTTTTAAAATCTTAATTATTTGCCCTTTGAAAACCACACAAACGCCGGGCGCGGTGGCTCAAGCCTATAATCCCAGCACTTTGGGAGGCCGAGGCGGGTGGATCACGAGGTCAAGAGATCGAGACCATCCTGGTCAACATGGTGAAACCCCATCTCTACTAAAAAAAATACAAAAACATTAACTGGGCATGGTGGCGCGTGCCTGTAATCCCAGCTACTCGGGAGGCTGAGGCAGGAGAATTGCCTGAACCCAGGAGGCGGAGGTTGCGGTG